CCAAAGTATGAGAGACGAAGTTTGGCCATCCTAGCCTCCAAGGAGCACTCTGGCTGCACTTCTTCCAACACAGATCTATTGGTTCTTTTGGCAGTCCATGACACTTTCAATATTCTCCTCTAACACCATAACACTAAAGCATCAATTCTTCTATGGTCTTCCTTATTTCCTGTCCAGCTTTCACATGCATATGAGGTGATTGAAAATGCCATGGCTTGGGTCAGGTGTGACCTATAAAATATCTTCATAATGTAGGCTATTGGTGTTGTTGCTAAGTGCTGTCAAGTTGATTCTGACTCATAGTGACCCTGTATACGGTTTCCAAGAACCAACCTTGTTGTTAGCAGTCCGGTGCTTACCCTACAGCGCTACACCAGGTCTCTAATGTTAATTATAGACTTTGGTTAATGCATATATCAGTACATCAATTTTAATAACTGTACCATAGAATGCAAGATATTAGTCATAAGAGAAACAGTGTGCCGGGGGAAGAGAGTACATGGGAACCTTCTGTAAATTCCGCACAATTTCTCTATAAACTCAGCCAGTGAAAACCCCATGGAGCATAATTCTACTCTGAAACACATGGGGCTGACACTGACCCCACAGCAACGGTACTGGTAAAAACAACATGCTTTCCATGACTGTCAACATGTCATGAATTTAAAACCATCATGAAATGAAGTTGTTGTTGTTGTTAGGTGCCATCGAGTAAGTATCGACTCATAGCGACCTTATGCACAGCAATATGAAACACTGCCTGATTCTGGGCCAACCTCTCTACTGTTGCCATGCTTGAGACACAATGATACTGCCACTTTGCCAATCCATCTCGCTGGGGTCTTCCTCTTTTTCTCTGACCCTCCACCTTAACAAACATGATATCCTTCTCCAGAGACTGGTTCCTCCTGACAATATGAAATGAAGTAGAGGGAACCAATTCATAACGCTTTTTGTGAGACCAACAGACAAAATCTGGCAAAAAGAAAATTGTTGACCAATATACTTCAAGAAGGTATATGCTAAAATCCAAAACAAAATATGAGCAAATTAAATCCAGCAACATATAAAAATGATAATCATGGTCAAGTGAGGTTTACATTAGGAATGCAATGTTGACTTAACAATACTTTTAAATATCAATCAACATAATTAATCATATTAACAGAATAAAGGAAAAAAACCCACATAATCACTTCAATAAGAAAAAATATCTGACAAAATTCAACAACTACTCATGATTAAAATAAAATTCATGGTTAGCAAACTAGGAACACAGGAATGTCCTTCATCTAACAAAAAGCATCTTAGGACACCTACAGCTAACATCGTATCTAATCGCAAAGTATTGAATACTTTCCCTCAAGATGTCCTAGGAACAAGGCCAGAATGCCTGTTGTTACCATTTCCATTCAACAGTATACTGGAGGTCCAAGACATTGCAAAAAGGCAAGAAAAATAAAATAGAGGCATAAAAGCAAGAAAGGAAGAAATAATCCTATTTTTATTCACAGATGACATGATTTTTTTACGCAGAAAACCCTTACCTAACCAACCAAGTGGACTTGCAGAAACCCCATAGGACAGAATAAAAGTGCTCCTAGTGTTTTGAAGACTGTAAGTTTGTATGGGAGCACACCACCACAGCTTACTCCAATGTAGTGGTTGGTGGGTTTGAACCGTTGACTTTGCAGCTAGCTCCCCAATGCTTATTCCACAGTGCACCCAGGGTTCCTAGAAAACCCTATAGTGTGTACAAAATAGCAACAAAAACCATTAATAAATAAATCCAGTACCAGCACAGGATGTAATGTTTAAGATACAAAAATCAACTGACACACATACACAGACATACACACACAACATACACACTCTCCAGATTTACTACACTAAAGCATTCCACTTATGATCAGCATGATATTTCTATCTCAATGGAATAGCCTTCTCGTGCTTTGTACCTTCACAGTTTCATATAATTTGTTTTTGTTGTTTTGATTTCTATACCCATTGATAACTTTTACACAGTATACCACTCCTAAAAGCAGCTATTAAATGTTCAGTTTCTGTTTTATAAAAACTACTCATATTATTTTACTCTTCCCAAATTTTCATGAATCATACTGAACTGAACTTAAATATATATTGATACTACAGTTTTGTTTCAGGTTTTTTTCTTTTTCTTTCTTTGTGTGTATATTCATAAACTTTTCATTTATTTGCTCAATTCATGTAAAAGTGGAGAAAGGGTTGGTGTCTTTTAAATATGCACCCAATCTTTGTAGTGTGTCCTGATGTGTGCATTAACTTAGTTTTAAAAGAACAGTCGAACACCCAAGCTTGCAGATAGTACCCATTTGACCTAGCCTTGATGGCTTGATAATCAGAACTCGACTAGAGGAAGATT